AGACCTGAGTGTCCTTCCCCACCCCCGCCAGACCGCCGGGACTCTGTGTGGTCGCGTCTCCTCTCCCCACCGCCAAACACCTGCCCATGAGGACGGGAGCCCCTTCTGCCTTCCAGACCACCTTGCAAGATCTGGATGCTGATGACCCATTTGATGGGCTCTGGGGCCTCTGGCTAAACATGCAGGACAGTGCGTTTTCTCTCTTGGTTCTTCCCAGGTACTTAATTCCAGTGTCAGCTGCCAGAACAGCTGGTGCTGGCCCAGAGAATCCCAGCAACTGCCTTCAGGCCCCAGAGGCTCCCAGCTGGGTTCCACCTGCAAGGCGAAGCCCGTGTTCTTTGGCCCCAGAGCAGCAGTGAAGACCTTGGTGCGAATCTGTGCTGCTTGGCAGGCCCTTTCCCCCCTTGGTCACCCCAGCATACTTGGCTAGTCCCTGCCAGGTGAGCAGGGGGTGAGCCTGAGCCGGTGGAGCGGTCGCTCGTCACAGTCACCCGCGATCCTGGCCGGCCCAGCGCAGGTGTTCGAGGGCTGTGGTGTAGGGATGGATGCTTCCGCAAAATCTGGTCAGCTGTCAAAAGAGGCCTCTGGCTGTTGGTCAGACATGATTCTTATGGCCACTTTGCTTTGGGGTAAAACTGCTTCATTTGTGAAATCTTGAAACTGCAAAATTAAAAAAGTCCCCGGCAGGTTGGTTCTTAAGTTGGCAAGCAACAGAAACCAACCCCGATCTTCAAAAACAAGGCAGAGTTCTGTAGGAAGCATGTCAGCTGAACCTCACACAGCGTCCAGCAAAGCCAGAAAATGGGTCTCAGACACCACAGGGCCGGGTCGTGTGGCAGGATCAGCCCGTTTCCCCCTCAGTCACTCTGCTTAGGGACACCTGTCCCGTTAGGCCGACTGCAGCCCTGTCAGCCTGTGTCGCCCAGGGAAGAAGCAGCTCCTGAGAAATCTGGTGCTGCTCAGATAAGGTGGCATCGAGGTTGGTTGACCAGAGAGCTGCCGGTGTCCTCCCTGGGGACCTCCCTTTCCTCCCTCAGAATCCATGGGGCCTATGGACTTGTCTTCCCCTGGACCATCGGCCACTCCTAGCAGAACCCTAACAACGCGGCCTGGTGTCATCTTTGTTTTCCACTGGATGTCTGATTTCACAGTTTATGTGCAGTTCCAGCTGTGAGTAATACGGGGCCCAAGGACGGCCATGGGAGCTGGCCTCAAGCTGAGGCACCGCGTCCCTGACGGTGAGCCGGCCCTGCTTGTGCAGAGGTGAGCCTGAAACCAGCAAGTAATTGACGCCAGGGGAGTCGAAGTGGCCCTGCATACAGAGTCAGTGCTGGGCAAGTGGTTGGAAGGATGTGCTGATAGATTTTTTTTTTTTCTGTGATGTGTCCAATGGCAGCTGGAATTGTCCTGAAATAGAAGGCAAGTTTGCGGAAAGGGAGTAGTCGCTTTGACTAGGGGGCCACCAGGACCTTCGGCCCCTCATCATCAGCAGGTGTTTCCTCGGGCTGTTTTGGGTCCCTAGGGCCATGTGAGGTGGCTCTCGTCGTTCCCTGTTGTCCCTTGGTGTGGTCTGTGGTCACCCTTGGCTCTGTCTCCCTGTAAGTAAGATGGGAACAAGAGTAACACAGCGGGCTTCTGAATGTCAGTCTCGGTGTTTGAGCAGTGTCTCGTGATTGCTACCCTAGCTTTTGGTCGCAGACCTCAGTTTTTAGTCCGTTCTTGTTAAAGATATTTGTGCCTTGGCTTTCTCCCCCAAAGTCCCTTAAATGGTTATTTACAGTAACATGTCGGTTGCATCCTAATACACTAAAAATTACTCCAATTATCAGAAGCCCTGAGAGATGCATCGGTTGATGTGAGGCGAGATAGAAAGTCTGTTTACAACTTCACCTCCCTGGCGTTTCCTGGGGTCTTGTGGGAACCTCTGCCCCAACTTCTGCAAGACTGTAGGGACAGCAGGTGCTGGGCGGGGTGTGGCTTGAATTTCGCTGGATTCTCTGGTGTGCCGGTAGACGAGCCTTCTGGGCCTGGGGGGGCATGTATGGCGCGGTCCCTTTGTCAAAAGCGAACCTCAGCGATGCCTTGGCTGAGCTTTCTCTCATCCTCAGTACTGGGGTTTCATGCGGCCCCCTACACCTTGTGCAGGACACACGGGAATCTCACCACTCCCACCACCCACGCAGCTGTCCGTGCTCAGCATCCATCCCCAGCAGAACCCCCTGTGCCTCTCCCTTTCCTGCTTTCCCATACATGGCTTGCAGCCCGTATCTGAGCCCGGGGCCTCATCTGGGAGCCCCTGGCTCTCACGGACGAGCCTCAGCTGCATTCTGCATGCCCAGCCTGAACGAGGGCAAAGGGTGGGTTTCGCCAAAGAGGAGGCGACCCAAGCCAGGGAGGGGGGCGATCGCTAGGCAACCTGGAGCTTGTTGCCCAGGTAACGCGATCCATGCACTGATGCTGTGGATGGACATCTTGTGATGAGGCCCCTCAGCCTCTCCAGATGTCTTGGATGGCTCTAGATGCCTGCCTTGTGCCTGCCCATCATTTTCCTCTGTGGTTGCTTTTTAATTAACAAGTTGGATTTCTTACCATGATCATGAACTGTGCGAACGCTGTCTGATTAACACTCTTGCCATCACATTTGGAGTCAAGTCAGGATGTTCTGTACCCTGTAGGAGGGACAGCCTGGGACAGGTGGGTAAATCTGCCCCCATAGTCCAAGACCACCAGTCCCATGGGAGCGTGACCTGGGCTTGGCAGCAGCTGTGGGGAGACACAGAAGAATCTGGTGGAAGAAGACGGGCCCTTCGGGATTTGGTCAAAGTCTCACCCTTTTCTTGGCCAAAAGGAAGGGCCGAGGTGGGAGCTTTAATGTGTGCCCATCAGGTTGTCCCCCCCCTTCAGGTGCCTACTCCAGGGGGCACTTCCCACTCTGTGCCTCAGGGTCCTCATCTATTAAAATGGATGGGGATGAAATGGGAGGCTATAGGCAACCATGTGAATTACTGTCCCTCACTTCCCTCTGCAGAGTTCAGGGGTAAAAGGCGGTGGGTCTCCAGGGGTCCTGACTCAACGGCACCCTTGGTCTTTGGGGAAGTCTCTCCATTCACACACACCCACCTTGACCCCTTGTGGAGCCCGCCTGCCAATTAGGCCAAAAGAACGCTAGCAGAGGGCTCACCAGGCCCCAACAAATAGCCTGGGAGCCCCCGTTTTCCCACCTGGTACAGAGGATATTTGGGGCTCGGCTTCACTTGGACGTCCTGCTTTGGGGATCCAGGCTCTGGGTTCGGCAGTGGTTTTGTTGCCACTCAGAGGCTGGGAGGGACTGATCCTTCGTGAGTCCCAGCTCAGGATGGAGCTGCCCCGAGGAAACCTGCACCCTGGCCCATTCGGAGGCCAGGACAAAAGCCTTTCCTCGGCTCCTTGTTCAAAGAGGTGATTGTCCCGAGCTGGGCAGCTGTGGCGTGGGAGTGCCATCCCAGGGCAGAGGCCACTGTGCAGGGGCCGTGTGGGCACCATGGGGACATCCTCCCCACCTCCACGTCCAGTGCTAATGGGGGCCCGGACGCAGCTCCAGGTGGGGATTTCTCTCCGCTTCTTACACAAGCGTGTCGCTGTGTGATGAGCCCTGGTGGTCACATGGGGGCTTCACGTGTCTGGGGCCCCCACACCCCGGTGGCCGTGGCAGGGCTGCCAGTGGACGAGCCCTTCGGGAGACCACGCAGCTGAGTGCAGCCTGGGCAGACGGGTCCTGCTTTTGTTGGCTGGAGCCTCTACCCAATGCCTTGTGGTCACACGAAGGCCAGTGGGCCAGGCGGCCACCAGCGGCAAGGACAAGTAGATCCTGTACAGGAAGAAGGAAGCAAAACAGACTGAGCCTGGCCTCGGTGTGGCGGCCCCTGTCAGAGTTCGTCCTGACCTCTGAAAGCATAAGATGCACGGAAAGCTCTCTCGCTTTGACTTGTAGTCTAGGATACTACGCATCAGATCGGTCGAGAAAATGGCACCATCTCGGTGCCACGGTCTCTCTGGAGACACCAAGACTTGCCAGCATATGGATTTTGCCAGGCTCCTGCAGGCAGCCTGGTGCATGCACCTCGTGTGGCCCTGTGGCCCAGGGCATGCGCCCCCGCTCTGTCCTGTGGGTTGGGGACGTCCCTGCCGCCCCCTTGAGCCTCCTGTAAGCAGCCGTGCTGGTCCACATGGAGCAGCGTGCAGGGAGGACTACCCCTGCTCTGTGCTCCCTTCACCCCCCCCTCCCCAAGTTGTGGGACAAGTGTCCTTTGTCTCTGTTGGGCAGCACCAGGACCCAGCACCGCTCTGACTGGTCCTGGTACCTGAGGAGCGCAGCTCGCTCTGCGGTCCTTAGAGAGACTCTCTTCGCTCTCCCAAGTCCCCAGCGAACTGCTGGCCTTCACACACGCCTCCCCACCACCGGACCAGGTCAAGAGGGGTCCTGAGCTGAGCCCAGGGTGCCTGTTTCTCCCAGAACGCTCCCATGGGGTGCGGGAGCCATGACCTGTCCCTCTGGTTTCATTTTGTACCCCCTCGTGTTTGGAAGGTGCTGGAGTGGGAGGGGAGCTCCCTTGTAGGCCCGGCTCATACTGGCAGCAGGTGCCCAAGGCTGGTGTGTCTTAAACAGATTCCTTGGCCCGAGTTCCACATGGCGATGGAGTTAGCTCCATGGTGGTTCCTGTTCGCTACACTTGAGATTGCTCACTGAGACCCAGGTCCCCCTCAGACGTCCACCCAGACAGATGTTCCCCCTGGGTCTCCTTGGCTTGCCCCAGAATCTTCCCCCGTGACTCCAAAGGAGCCTGTGGTCTTTGAGCCCAGGGGAGCCCAGGCGGCTTCGTGGGTTCGTGGTCTACCCAGGGAGTAGGGAGGGAGCTCCGGGGTCCCCCAGACCTGATGGATGTGGGTAAGGGGGAGCACTGTCCCCCAGTGTGGGACAGGCCACTGTGCCCGCCCACCAAATCACCCTCCCATCCTCACAGGTATCCGCCCCCAGATCATGAACGGCCCCCTGCACCCCCGCCCCCTGGTGGCGCTGCTCGATGGCAGAGACTGCACCGTGGAGATGCCAATCCTGAAGGACCTGGCCACTGTGGCCTTCTGTGACGCACAGTCCACTCAGGAGATCCACGAGAAGGTGGGCCCCACCCCCCACCCCGAGGCCGGGGTCACCCCAGGTCAGGTGGCTGCCATTCAGCAAGGGGTCCCTCAGGTCTCCCCGGGCTGGGCCCTCTCAGCCCCGCCCCACCCTCCCTGTCTGCGCCCCCCGTCACCCAGAGTCACAGGCAGACCCCGAAGCGCAACCCCGGGCCACTCGCCTGAGGGAGCGGTCACGCCCACCCCGCGTCCTCTGCGGCGGGTGCAGGGGTGATGGGGCTGGGGCAAGGGCTCCAGCTGGCTCTGCTCACCCCATCACAGGTTCTAAATGAGGCCGTTGGCGCCATGATGTACCACACCATCACCCTCACCAGGGAGGACCTGGAGAAGTTCAAGGCCCTGAGAGTGATCGTGCGGATAGGCAGCGGCTACGACAACGTTGACATCAAGGCTGCTGGCGAGCTCGGTGAGTGCGCGGGGCCGCGGGGCGGCTGTGCGGGGAGCCGAGGTGGGCACAGCTCCGAATACCCAGGCAGGAGTGAGCCTGCTGGGCCCTGAGCCCCCGCCCCCGTCCCTGTGCTGGCTGGACCGGGCTGTCTCACTTGGGAAGGACCTGAATGAAGCCCACGAGCCAGGGGCCCGTCCCTGCAGAGGGGGCCCTGTGAGTGGCCACAGGTCCGTGTTAGCCAGTCAGGACCCACCACCCAGAAATGCCAATGCTGGGTGCACAGCTCGGGGCTCGGGAAGGGGGGGCGTCGGGCATCCCTAGGTCTCCTCCAGTCCCGGCATGGAGACCTCCTCCCAAGGGCTGCTGTCCACCCAGAAACCTGCCGAGGTCCGCGCCAACAGGGTGGACCGAGGCCCAGCACCTCCTGCCCAGCCCTTGTCGGAGGGGCAGGGGTTCCAGAGAAAAGCAGGGGCAGCAGATGGACACCCACAGGCAGTTGCCCAGCGGTAGGGCCATGGCACCGTGCCCGCCCCCCGCCCCAGCACCTGCTGTGGACTCCATGTGCGAGGAGTGTCCACAGAGCATTGATGGCAAGCGACCCTGGGCTGGCCTGCTCGCTCCGTGAGGGCCCAAGGTCCTTCAAAATGAGCTCCTGTGCTCACTGTCCTTGATCTGTGTGTGCGATGTGCCAGGTCGGCTCCCGGGTGCGTGGGCCCGTGCCCCACCTGAGTACTGGGGTGCCCCAGGGCTGCTAGCGGGGATCTAAGAACGCAGACCTCTACGGTCCCCCAACCTTTGGCTGTGCTGAGGCCCTGGTGGGCTCTGTGGGCCAGTGGTCCATCTCCCGCCCTGCCCCAAGTCAGCCTCCCCGCCCCCACCGAGGACCCGGTGGGCCCTGGCGCTCCAGGGGCGGGCTGAGCCGGGGTCCTACCTAAGCGTGCACACCGTGGCCTCAGGCACTTCTGGCCTCCGCTTCCTCCTCCAAGGTCCTAGCCTGGGGTTTTGAGTAAAGGTCCATGGTTTCTTCAAGGGCTTAGTTCCCTCACTTGAATTGGGGGCAGGTGCTGGGTAGAGGGAGCCTGGCTGGTGCTGAGTCTGGTGCTTCTTCATGGTGGTCCAGGGTGCTCTGAGCGTGTGGATACGGCAGGTGGGGTCGCCCCACAGGTGAACCCCAAAGGAAGAGGCAAGAGGTGGTCATTCCCCAATAAGATGCCTTCTTCCCCTCCCCCATCCTGGAAGTGAGGGGCTGGGTGGCAAGTGGCTTGGAAGATCGACCCTATGCAAGAGGAAAAGGGGCGGCATCAGAACCCAGACTCGTTACAGGGTCTGGAGGAAGTGATGGCTTCCTGTGTCTGCCCTGAGCGCTCGCTTCTGGCCTCGGGGTCCCCCTGAGCCCGTCTTGGTTGCAACAAAGAAACTTGGGTGGACAGGGGTCCTCATAAGCATGTTTAGCATTACCTCAAATTTTCCATCTTTCCTGGGCACCAACAAGAATATTTTTGTTTGAAAACAAATGTTCTTTGTGCTCTTGGTAGAGCTGAAATCCCAAGTTCAAACAGCGATGGAGAATATAGTTTTAACACACTGAGAGGGGGGCAGGGGGTGCGGTCCTCAAATGCTTCCCTGCACCCGTCTCCTCATCTCTGTGGGTCCGCCCCTTGCAGCCCAGGCTCTGGTGAGGTGTTCGTGTTGAGTTTCCTTGATGGGAACCAGGGAACTTCTTTCCAGGGAGAGATGGGAAGGTCTCCCAAGCAAAACTGGCCATCCCTCCATTTGCAGAAGCTCCCCACACAGCTGGCCTGGGCCAGGAGGGGGACCTCGTTTCCCTAAAACCAAAGGTGCCCCGCTCCCCCAGCTGCACGGCTGCCCTTGGCGAGGGGGCCCAGGCGGAGGAGATGCTGTTCCCAGGGGCCTGCCGTTTTGAACAATGGAAACGTCAGCTTCCATTCCAGTCAGTTTCCATTGATCCTGGTGCGTGTGGAATTTGGAGAAGGAAAATGGGCCTCTGTCCTGTCTCCTGATTGCACTCTGCAGATGATTCTGTCCCCAGACTTCATGCAAATGAGAACAGTGGCTGTAGGTGCTGCTTGTCTCCGGGGCCTGCAGTGTGGCCTTCCTGGGAGGATGCTCCCTTCCCAGTGCTCACAGGAGCCTTTGCATGAAGATGGCGGGCCCGAGGCGATGCTTGGGGTGAGAGCAGGGCGAGCTCAGGAAACAACTGTGTCACCTGCCTGGAGGAGTTAGAGGGATTCGGCCTCTGCAGTGTCTCCCCAAGGACCAGGGAGCCAGGGGGAAGTCGGGGGAGGTGGGAGGTTGCTGGGGGCCTCTCACCTTGTGAGCCTCTCTAGCAAGCTCCTTTATCTGGCTTCCAGTTCAGAAGGGGTGACAGCAAAGAGTGAAACCATTGACGGGAAGAGCAGCTCAGCCACAGGGCTCAGGCCTTGCGGTGAGGCGGCCGCAACTCTTGCCCTGCAGGTGCTAGAAGCTTCTCATCATGGCCTTTAGAGAATCGCCCTGATGCAGACCATGACCTCAAGAATGATTTCAAAAGAGTCCCACGGCAGGAGGGTCGTCAGGGCTTTGGGGTTTCAGAGGAAGGTGCCATTGTCCTTGGGGCAGGACGGTCCCCGGTGCTTCCAGCAGCCCCTCCTCCAGGTTTCAGTCTCGGGCCCCTTTCAGTCTCTGCAGCCGAGCAGCCAACATGTCAGAGTTCAGGGGTGCAGGCTGAGCAGTGTCCCTTTGCACACACACACACCCCCCCCCGGGGGTGGGCAGATGCGATGCTCTGTGTCACACGGACCCGCGTGGGGACCCCCTCCTCCAGCACGTCCCCTCCGGTCTCGGCTCCCAGGGCGCAGCTGGTCCCAGGCCCGGGGGGTCGGCTGGGTAGTGGCCGAGGGTCCACTGCCGGACCCTCCTGCTGGGCTCTGGCCAGAACACCTCCGGTTCCTCAGAGGATTGGAAACCATCACAAAACCCTGACTTCTGGCGCAGCCCAAATTCTAGGCTGGCCTGTTTCGCGTGGAGCGGGCTCCATTGTGGCTGTTTGCAGAACTAACTTCCAGCTCATGGAAGTTTCGGCAGCCTAGATCTGTCGGACACTTTGTCCCCCGGCAGGTGGCTGGGACCAGGTGGGACGATGTGCTCATGGGGGCTTTCCCTCTGAGCTGTCTGTCCTCCTGAGGGGGGTCACGGAGACCCTGGACCTCAGGGCAGCCCTTGTGGGGTGGTCACACAGCTACTAGAAAGGGGGTGCTCAGCATGGGGGGTCCTGTGGTCCTGTGTTCCCTCCGGTGAGCCACATAGGCTCTGGTGCTCTTGTCCCCACTGCCGGGCTTGAGAAGGTAGAGAAAGGCAGGGCTGCCTTCTTGGAGGCCCTGCCCCTTGTGTTCCTTGGGTCCCAAACCTGGGATTAAAAGGTGGTTTTCTGAGCTCGTCTGACGGGTGCCTGGATACCTATGTCCGTCAGAAAGCTGCTTGCCTGACAGGCCCCGTGTTCTCTGCCACAGCCCAGCCGGGCCCCCTGTTCCTGCACCCCTCCCATGTCTGGCAGACATTTGCGTTCTTCCCCCAAACACCCTCCTACCAAGGAAGGTCAGTGCCTAGCTCTGCCTGCTGGAGACGTGGGGTGGTTCTTCCAGCAGCCCCTCGGCCCCAGAGCCTGGGGGCCAGCCCTTACCAGCTGCCCCCCTAGCCCTAAATGCTCTTCCAGAAAGCAGGGCAGTCCCCCCGTCCGCTTGGTGTTCTTTTTGCCCGAGTAGGATCGTGGGCAGGGCCCACTGAACGGGCGTGGGGCTCAATTCAGGCATCAGCTCCGTCCTGGCCCCACCCGGGCCCGTGTTGAGGGGGAGGTGTTGGTTCCTAATTCTTCCATCTTGCCCTTTTTCAAAACGAGTGTTCACATGTTCATCACAAGAGACTTAAAATACTGTAAACAAGAAGCCAATCTCCGTGCCCCCAGCCCAGCCCCAGGAGGAAGGTCCGGAGGGTTCGCTGTGAGGAGTCTGGTCTTCTGGACACGACCCTGGGGCGGGGGGGGGGGTCTCTGCATGCTGGTTTCCTGCTGTCCACGGCGGACGCGGGCAGGCTTCCAGCCTCTTGGCTGCTCACCCCTCCAGCTGCCCACTGCTTGCTTCCCGAACACAGGGTCCAGAAGCAAAGGGTGGGTGGGATGTGGGGTGAGTGGGGGCCTGGGGGTGCGGTGAGCCTGGGATGGATGTGGGGGCTGGAGGCCCCTGAGCATCGGAGCCCGAGGGTCCATGTCTCCCAGGTGACGGGCAGGCCTCAGAGCCTGACCTGGTGGGACCACACGCCAAGTCCGTGGCTGAAGCGCCAGCTCCGCCTCCCTGCCCCTCGGCTGGGTGCTCGGGGAGCCTCGGGGGTCCTCACCCGGGGGCCGGGCCCTGTCCTCCCCAGGCATCGCCGTGTGCAACATCCCGTCCGCGGCCGTGGAAGAGACGGCCGACTCCACCATCTGCCACATCCTCAATCTGTACCGGCGGAACACGTGGCTGTACCAGGCGCTGCGGGAGGGCACGCGGGTCCAGAGCGTCGAGCAGATCCGGGAGGTGGCCTCGGGAGCAGCCCGCATCCGTGGGGAGACGCTGGGCCTCATCGGCTTCGGTAGGTGCAGCTGCCCAGCCCGCCCCCCACCCACCGGTGCTGGCGCGGGGACCCCCCACCCCCACCCCCACCCCGGCGAGGAAGAGCCCGGAACGGCCGGTGCCCTGGGAGCTGGCCTTCCCTGTGCACCGGGGGAGCCAGAGGCCGACAAGGCAACTGCCCCCTCTGGGAGTGGGTCTGCAGGGCTGGGTGGGGAGCAGGCAGCGCAGGGGAAAGTCTCCCCCGCTGGGCAAAGGAGGGGCTGTGTGCCCACCGGTTGCCCTGGGCGGGGGCTGCTGGAGTTGCCTTGTGGAGAAACCAGCAGGCTTGGGGCTCGAATGGGGGCTGGTGGCTGAGCCGAGATCTGGGCCATGGTCAAGGCCCAGCCCCTGGAGACCCTCAAATGCCAGGCCAAGGTGGCAGCAGGGAGTCCCTGAAGGATTTTGAGCCGGAAGGTGGCATGGCCAGGTCATCAGCTTAGAACGCGGCCCTATGAGCGTCCTAGGCGGGTTACCAAGGACACGGTGAGCTGTGACGGAAAGCAGCCTGATGACGTGGTCTTCAAAGCACACGGGCTCAGGGGGGCTTGCTTTACTGCTGAGTCTCAGCCCCGCCACTCGGCCATTCCATGACCTTGAGGAAATTCGCTGACCTCTCTGCTTGGGTGTCCCACTCTGTAGCTCGGGAAGGGCGTGATAACACATGGCTGCCTCTTAGGGCTCAGAGAAGGCACGAGAAGTAGGTGGGGTGGGTAGCAGGTGCTGGGCCTGGCTTCCAGAGGGCTCCCCAAGCTGTCACTCGACCCTTAGCTCAGAGCTGTTTCCAGAAAGCCAAGGGTCAGGACGCCTGGGATGGCCTCTGGGTGCCAGCCTGAACAAGGTAGAGGGAGCTGGGTTTCTTTGGGGAGGGCGCATCTAACTCCCCAGGGTGATTCAAGAGCGCAGGTGTTAGGGGTGATCACACTCTCGAAGGCATTCCTCTCAACGATTTACGAAGGAGTCCTCTTCACTTTTTCTTGAGTGGACGCTGCGAGTGACCATAGGCAACGCGGGGCGTCGTGTGGGGGCCGCAGCGCCCTCTGCTGGTGCCCGGGGCCTCCCGTGGCTCTGCGCAGTGGCCCTTGGAGATGCTGCTTAGAACATGGCACGTGTTCTTACCCCTGCAGCGGCTGAGCCCTCTGCCGTCCTTTGCAGTCCCGTGGTTTGAGCCCCGTTCACTTGAGACTAAGCCAGCACCGCCTCAGCCCCTGCTCCCCGTGCTCTCTGACGGTGAGGTCGCCTTGCTGCCTTTCAGGTCTGTCTATAGCCTTCCCAAGTGCAGACAGGACTCCGGACGGGAGGAGGCCTAGTCGGAGGCTGCCTGATGCCTCCCCCCGAAAGCGTTCGGTTGCCTGAGGCTTCGCTGAGAAGCAGCACCCAGAGTGGGGGGCGGCCCAGCCCTGAGCGTGGCCCCAGCCCGGGCTGGTGGTGGGATGGTGCTTGCGGACAGCCAGCCAGTGGCAACACTATATATATATATATTTTATATTTTTCAGGCCAAGACAATTGGCTTCTGCAAGGCTCAGTTTTGATCAAGTCAGTAACAGCATTAAGTCACTAGGTCTTGTAGAAACTTAGGAAAACCTCATGGCTGACGGAGAAGCTAATGAAAACACAAGGGTTAGGGGACTGATGAAAAGGAGAAACTGGAAAATCACACTCGGGCCCCGGCAGCCACAGCCGGGAAGCCCCATCTCCAGGCAAAGCGCGTTAGGACGCGGAAGTGAGGGGGGGCGTTCTTGTGTGGGCTGAGAGCATGGGGTCGTGTGTCCCATGCTGCAGGGACGTCAGGGGTGTCGTAGGCCCCTGGTGCTCTTCTCCAGCTTGTCACCTTTGTTGTGCCTGTCTGTCCGCTGGGGTGTGTGGCTACAGTTCCCAGTTCGCTGCCTCCAAGTGGTGACACCGAGGAGGGAGGACAGGAGGGATAAGCACGCACCCGTTGCCCTGCAGCTGGCCCTCCAGCCCGCAGGAGTGGGGGACAGTCCACCTCCACGTTGCCCTCGTGTGGGCTTCCTGTTTGGGAAGGGACACCTTCCCTCGTCTCCTCCTCCTTCCCCGGCCCCGTTGAGCAGTGGTTTCAGACAAAGACGATTCTGCACACTTCCCAGAGGAGCCCATTCAAGCATCACGCAAACCACTTTGTTTTCAAGCCGAAAACAGCTCTGGGAAGCTGGAGGCGCTAGCCGTGGGGTGCTGTGGGCTTGTGCAGATGACAGCCACTTTGGAGACCGGGAGGCCGTCCGGTCCTGTTAGGTGGTGTGGGCCACTAACCTGCTAGAGGGAGGGGCCTGGGGCTCCCCCAGCAGGTCAGAACCAGTCTGCATACCTGACCAGTACGTGGCTCCCCCTCCCCATCAAAGTGAGTCTCCCGCCCTGCAGGGGCCCCTTCCAATCCCTGTGCCCCTTCCGTGAGCAAACCCTGTGCTAATTGGCAAGAGAATGTTCTCTGTTACTGCCCTCGCTGTCTCAAGAAAGGACGCTCAGGTTAAGAAGCCTGCTGTGTACCCAGAAACCTCGGGGAGAGAGAAATGAGGATGGGAGACTGTGGTGCTGGCTGGAACTGGGGGAGGGGCACATGGCATTCACTAGAACATTCTCTGTAGCTGTATGTTTGAGAAGGTCCATCCCAGGAGCTTTAGCACGCACACACACACACACACACACACCCCGCTGCAAACAACAAGCTCCCCGCTCCTCACCCCTCACCCAGGAAGCCAAGGAGCCGTGCTGGCTGAGAGCATCACCCAGCTTTGGGCACGCGGTTCCCCTGGCAGCGGGGACAGCTGGGGCCCACACAAGGCGCGGCATCCGGAGCGCTGGGCGGCAGCAGACGGGACTGCGGACTCGCTCACCTGGACGCTCTCTCTCTGCACAGGTCGCACGGGGCAGGCGGTTGCTGTTCGAGCCAAGGCCTTTGGATTCAGCGTCATATTTTATGACCCCTACTTGCAGGATGGGATAGAGCGGTCCCTGGGCGTGCAGAGGGTCTACACCCTGCAGGACTTACTGTATCAGAGCGACTGCGTCTCCTTGCACTGTAATCTCAACGAACATAACCACCACCTCATCAATGACTTTACTATAAAGCAGGTAACTGGACATAGATACCCTCAGCCCCTGGAGACTTCCAACCAAACAAAAGGGGGGTAGGGGACGGGAAGTGGTCCGTGGACACGCGCGTGGAAAGGGAAGACCACCCCCAGGACATCAGTGAGGGGCCAGGTGAGGCCCTCACCTGGCCCCCAGCACGGGATGGGCCACATCGCCCCGGGACAAACGGGGGCTGGCCCAGGACCCAGCAGGGACCTGTCTCAATCAGGTTTGGCCTCCCAAGAAGCAACAGGCAGGTGACAGGCCACAACTCCAGCCTGCCCGCCTTATGGCCCTCTCGGAGGCAGCGCAGAAACCCCCCCAGCTGCCGCTGGCACCCCGTGCGCCCCTCCCCTGCCCTGCCGCACACGCACTCAACAGCCGGACCAGCAGAACTCCTCGGTCCGGGCCGTGGCTGGTTTCTTGAAACCTCCGGGCAGGTGCCTTCCAGCGTGGTGGCATCTAACGGCTTGCTTTCCTCCCACAGATGAGGCAAGGAGCATTCCTAGTGAATGCGGCCCGCGGTGGGCTGGTGGATGAGAAAGCCTTAGCCCAAGCCCTCAAGGAAGGCAGGATACGAGGGGCAGCCCTCGACGTGCATGAATCGGAGCCTTTCAGGTGGGTCTGCTGGGCTGCTGACCCGATCGTTAGCCGAGCTCCCGGCCTCACACCAGGAACTCACGGGCCCTGCTTCTAGCCCTGACCGCGCCCCACACTGTGACCGCGGGGCACGTCCCCGGAGAAGCGGCTCCTGGGGAGGAAACCAGAGACCTACAGCCTCTGCTCTAAGGGCTGTGCTGTACTTGGAGTGTAAAAGGGCCAGGGGGCCCACGAATGTCCGAAAGGAAGAAAAATGGTGTGTTGGTCTAGAGAGGAGCGGGCTTCATCTGTCCCCTGGACCGTGGGTTCTGCTTAGAGGCGGGCCCTGCCGATCCTCCGAAGATCCTTCCTCCTGCGTCCCTCATCCCTCCTGACACTCATTTAGAAGGTCTGATCAGTATGTTCTTGAATTCCCAGCCTTTAGGAGATGTACTAGCCACTGTTCTCTACACAGGTAAACTGGTCAGTGCGCTGCATGGCCACCAGCTCTCTCTTGGAGTAGGTAGGGAGCGATACCCAATTCTTCTCATTTGTTGTGTTTTTGTACGTTTATCTAGCTTTGCTCAGGGTCCCTTGAAAGATGCACCGAATCTCATCTGTACGCCCCACACAGCTTGGTATAGTGAGCAAGCCTCACTAGAGATGCGGGAGGCAGCCGCCACCGAAATCCGCCGGGCAATCACAGGTGAGCCCGCCCGCTGCGGCCCCGCCAGCCAGCGCCTGGCGGGAAGGACGGCCGGGGCCCTGCGGCTCAGCTAACGCGCCAGGGGGCTTACGGAGGCTTGCTACTCAGGCAGAGGAGGTTTTAGGGATCAAGTTGATTACGTTTGGAAGGAGCTGGACCCAGTTCATCCAAGCCCTGAACTCAATTTCAGAGGAAACGGATTCCTTTTCAATCAGCCAGCATAAGCGTGCGAAGTGTGGAGGGAGCCAGGGGAGAGGCTCCTTTCTGTTCCTGGGGGAAGGGGGGGGCTGGAGTGAAGAGCGCAGGGCACAGGCCCCGCAACGCTGCACCTTTTCTGAAAATGGAAGGGCCGGCCCTCTCATTCCAGAGTAAGAGACTTTACACTCAGATTTCCATAGTTCAAACACGGTAGGGGGTTCCCCCAGCAGCAGCTACTGAGCGTGATCTGTAACTCACTGTGACCTTAAAAAAATACGTCTGATTAGTTTTAATCCTCCTATTCCAGGTCGCATCCCCGAAAGCTTAAGAAACTGTGTGAACAAGGAATTCTTCGTCACAACCGCTCCCTGGTCAGTAATAGATCAGCAAGCAATCCATCCGGAGCTCAACGGCGCCACGTACAGGTGAGAAGCGGAATGGCACCGGCCTCGCTGGAGGGCTCCCCCGGGGAGGGGGAGGAGAGATGGGGAACCACGGAGTCTCCCTGCACCAAGTCTGCTGTCCTCGCACATGTGCCACTGCCCAGTTTCTGTGGAGCAAACACAACTCTTGGGATACAGCCTAGAATTGGGGTTCCTATTTGTAAGGAGCGGGAATTGGGAGTGCGTTCCCCAAAGGGTCTGAACACCGCGAGGAATCCCCCTGCATCCCCAGCCGCTTCAGAAGCAGGCGGCTTCTGCGTGAGAAGGTACCGGGAAGATTTTCAGGGGAAGGGCCTGCTGGTGAATTTGTTTGCTCCTTTGAAACTTCTGGCCCAGAGCCCACACAGACCCATTTCCCATGGTCTCTGCCCCACCATGGCTGGGCTCACAGGGAAATCAAAGTCCGGCTTTATAAAGGAGCTGCAGCCTTGAACTCCAGGAGGAAATCGCGGTCTGGCTTACTGTAACCCACGGTTGCCCCACCCCTGGCAGTATTCACTTACCGGCCAGATCATTGTCCCCTGGGGCCTAGCCTTTGCACTCCGCGATGCGTCGCGGTGGCCCTGGCCTCCACCAGCGCTCGCAGCCCTAATAACCGAAAATGGCTCTCGAGCTATTGCCCAACCTCCCCCGTTGTGAAGCACGGCTCTGACCACCGGGCCGGGGGGGGGGGGGGCCGCGGGGGGCGGGGGGCGGGTGGAACTGTAGTTGGTGGAGGAGGACCCACAGGTGAAGGCTCAGACTCTGAGGAAGTCATGCGGTTTTCTCCCCAGGTCTCGCGGCTTTATTTACATTTCGGTTTGCCGTCTTCTATTAATGTCCCACCCTTTTTTACCCTTTTAATAGTATTTCGGTATCATCACTTGAACCTGCCTCGGCCCCAGGTTCCTGTTCCTTATTGTTGGCAGCCTGTCCTTCCAAGGCCCCCTCTTAATTCTTCCCTTTGACAGACCAAGCCTCCCTGGCCCCTTGGAATGGGGCTTATGCTCGAGGGGCTGTAGCTCACCAAGTCCTGGGGAGTCCTCCGTTTCTGACCGACCAGTGAGCACTTGTACAGGGTGCGGGGCGGGGAGCCATGGGTCAGGGGTTTGAGAATGTGGAGAATGAGTCTTTTAATTCTAAAGCGCCTGCCTCCTAAGTCCCTTTTATCCGAGGCATGTTTCAAGACCCGCACTCGCATTTGCTAAGAGCCGCACGTCCTGTGGGGGGCTTAGTGCCACGTGTCCTTCTGCGCCCAGCAGCTCGTGTGCCCATGCGGTAAGGCCCGTCTTCGCCAGCTCACCTCTTCCCTTGCTGCCGCCGCGGTCTCGTCCCGCACCTCCGGCCCCGAGAGCACACAGCTAGCTCGCCTAGGGTCTGGTCTGTTGGGAAACCATTAAAAGCATCGATATAACCAATGAATACTTTCTAAGGCAGCCGGACAACCTGGGGAGCCTTTTTTGGTACAGAATGTTTCCCAAATGCAGTAGTGTCCGTGGACGTAATACGGGCTGTTCCTATGGTGTGAAAGCTACAGTCTGTGGCAGTGTTTTGATTGGACTACATAGATTTTGTTGTTTAGGAGTTAAATGTCAGAGTTTTAGATTTTTCATGTAGATTTCTCCTTGCCTTGGGGGGTAAAGTGACTAACCTATTTAAAAACAACAACCCCAAGTAGGCAGAGCCAAGGGCTCGGCTCCTCCCTGCTCCCAACTTACTGGCCCTTTCTCTGTGTGCTCCTCAGATACCCGCCAGGCATCGTGGGGGTGGCTCCCGGCGGACTTCCTGCAGCCATGGAAGGGATCATCCCCGGAGGCATCCCGGTGACTCACAACCTCCCCACCGTGGCACACCCTTCCCAAGCTCCCTCTCCCAACCAGCCTACAAAACACGGGGACAATAGAGAGCACCCCAATGAGCAATAGCAGAGAATGACGAACAGTCATCATTCAGATAAACCTGGGACCAAGAGACAGTGAAAACTAGATGAACTAAGAGAAGGACTTTGACCGTCTTTTTAACCGATTCCGGACCCACGCATCACTGACGCTGCAGGAGTTAGGAGAAGCGGGAAGCCGAGGCGTGGGAAGGCTGGAGCTGGCGTCTGGTGACGGAAGCGCTGAAAGACTAGGACGTGATTTATTAACGACCAACTTCTGTTATTGTGTGTTACGTTCTTCATCTGTGCATCCAATCACAAAGAATAAATAGATCCTTTTCCTTTATCAGCCCCTTGGGCACAGCAGGTCCTGAACACCTTGCTCTAGAATGTTGCATCAGGAGTTCCAAACGTCAAATAAAAAATACTAAGAGGAAATCCCCCTCCTATGACTCTAGTCCCTTCGGTCCATGGGGGCTGGTGACCTCTCTTGCTGATAGGAAGATTAAATTACTACAGAGAAGGGGGAGAAAACTGTGTGCCCGTGTTAACCACCGCAAGCGTACAGAAGTCTCTCTCCCATCTGAACTGCGTACTGAGCGGGCGAGTTGGTTGTGAATTCAGTGATACCCTCTTGATGATGCAAAAAAAGGAAAAAAAGAAAAAAAAAGAAAAAAGTATTAAGTTTCACAAGCTGTTTGTACTCAAATATATTTTCTCAGTTTCAGATCCTCAGCTATTTTATTGAGTGGAAAGTCTTGAGCTAAAAGAGTTCAAGAAAAATAATGTTGCATTTCCTTATGTCTCAGGAAACACTTTTTATGGTAACTTGTCAGATTGTCTATGAACAAACCCACTTTTTTAGACATTGATAAATCTTCTTTTCTTCACGTGATATTTTATACAAGAACACTTCAGGTGTGTTATTAGATGTGACTGATTTTAACAAATCCTATTAGATTTGTATCAACTAGTTACATGTTATATTCATAGTCTTTTGTGAATCATCGCCTTTTTGTTTAAAAGATGGCCTATTTTGAGCCTTTGTATAGGTACATTCCTGTTTTTGTGACAAAAAAAAAAAAAAAATCCTTTAAAACTGTCCCAAACAGAAAAATAATGGCTATCGGAAGTGTTTTGTTTTAGTGTGAGTTACCGCTACTGTGTCTGTTTATTGTAAAGGTGGACATTTAGCGTTCAGTGCAGTTTTCAATAAAAAGTAATAAAAATTTGTTAAGTTCTGAAATTCAAGTACATCTCACCCAGGTAAATGTTCTCTACTTGAGATGTTTTAAAGGCAAACTACATTCTCAATTAGCCAGTTTTCAACTCGTGTTCCTCCCGGGTTCGAAGACGAACACTTTTCCATCTGCCCATATGCAGGTGATTACCTATGATAGCTTAACCCAGAAATCAGAAAACCGCCCATTAAGTCCATCGTTATCAAATCATGACATCCTCAAGATGAAATCGTGGGTTGGAACTAAGTCGATTCAAGAAACAAAATTGGTCAAGTTAGAGAGTTTTGATTTTAATTTACCCAAAAGCAGAATTACCTGGCTCAAGCATTAATGCAGGAAGGGAAGTGAATCTCAAAATTCTTTTAAATGATATTTACAAAGAAATGTTGCAAAATAATTAACATCAGCCATTTCCATATGCTAAGAACTTTAAGTTGTTGATTTAAAGGATTTTCCTTCTTGAATAGCATTAAACCCTTTTGTTCTAGTGGTAGCCACACTATCAACCCATCCATCAGGTCCAATTCCAGGTACCCAACTCCCTGTCACTCCTTTCTCCTCCCCTTCCCATGAAGAAGACGGGGGGAGGGGCGATGATGGCACCTTCAAACATCAACCTCCTCCCTCATCTGAAGGTGGTGGCCCCATCCCAACCCTCCCAGAAAAATTACATTAAAACAACCTCCTATGGAAGAGGTGGAGCACATGGTTACTGACTGACCCATCACTCCAGGAAACGGAATGGGAGCTGAACGTCCTCGTTACGTAACCAGGATGTCCATGAGGGCATGACCACACATGTGCAAAAAGGAGATTCCCCAACTGCCTAAAGCAAGCAGTGTTCCCGTAACACAGATGGAGTCTGGGACACGGTGAGCCTAGAGTCAAAAACAAAAAGGCCAGTTCAAATCCATGGTGCACCTAGGTTTTGTTTAATTAGAACAGAAAACACCACACTGTATTCTCCCTAAAAAAGAACCATAAAGTTAAGTCCATACAGGTAAGGTAATTACTGTCCAGAGTCAACCAAGACCTCATCTTTGAGAAAGGACTGCGTACTCTATCTCGGGACAACAATTATGGCTGTTTAATAGTTCAAGAGCTTAACATAGCATTGATTCAACATTTTGGCCATTAGTGGCCAATCTGCTCTGAAAACCATTTAAAGCCCCATCCCTGTCTGGAGCCTAGGAAATGCAATGCTCTACCTTTCCCACAGGGAAGAATGCTGTACCCGTTAAACTAGGTGTGGTCAGGATCACTGATCATAAATAAATAAATAAAGAGGCACCTCAGGGGAAGCAACACTCAGCAGACCACCACACACAGGCTAAGTACTGAGCCTATGATTTCTGGACAGCATTGACTGCAGTGTAGACCATAGTGACTAGACACTTCTCTCAAACGTTTCTCTTTGGCTTCTTCAATTGAGAGGGTAGTTTTGCTTAACAGCAACTAGAATAGGATCTGTGCCCACTAAAGAATTCTTCCTATGTATAGAGAAAAGTTTATAGAGATGCTATGCTAAGTAGAACGACAGCCTTCTAAAAACTTAATTACTGACCAAAATGAAAGCCAACCAGAGAGTCAATTTGTAGGGAAACCTAGCCACTTAGAACAGTAACATTTACCATTATTACACCAAAACTCATTTATATGAAATCAAATTGCAAAAGTTTCCTGCAAGTTTTAGCATACAGCACAAGTGATCCTCTCATCCTGGGAATCTGCACTGTTCCGAGAGGGGAGAAGTAACTAAAGACATGACATCTCATGGGTGTTTTTCTATTTTTAGTATTCCAGCATCAAATTAGAGGTTGTGCACATTTCAAACACCATCTAAACAGAACTCAGAAAAAAACAAGAAGCAAATATTTAAAGGTTTTTCACAGCCTTTTCATCAAAGGGAAGGAACAGTGTGTGTGTGTGTGTGTGTGTGTATGGGGCTGCTTTCCAAATTCCTTGCCACATCAATAGTCTACAAAGTGCTTATCAGGACACTAAGTCTTTCATGTGTTCCTGAGATAGGTCTGAAATTTTTACCCAGTATTGAACATATACCTGAAGTGGTCAAATAATACTTTTTATAAAAAGATTTCTATCTAAGATTATAAGTTTTAACTTTTAAATAAGAATGGCCACAATTAACCAACATGCAAAAATTCTCAGACTACTCTGAGAAATTCATTATACAATGCATTTCCACCTTACTGCATTTTCAAATCTTTATTCTATACTTAACTGATTCCCAATGAGCCCAAGCAAAGGCATGCCTTTCTAACACGATTTGCTTAAAGCAGAGTTGATGATACAAGGAAGAATCCAAAGACCCTCTGCATGGCAATTTGGGAGTATAACATTGTCAATTGAATCAAGTGCGCAAATTTCACACAATTCATTTAGTTACAAGTGGGCCTGTACCCCAGGCTCTTCCCTAACTTACATCCCGGGAATGACGACTCACAGAGAGACTGCCGCCCGGACTCTGGGAAAAGAACCCTCATGTTAAGGGTGCTCTTCAAACAAATAAATACCTAAATACTGAAAAGGGGCATTCAGAAGCTTAAAAAAGACGAAATAATAGAAACCAAAACCCTTTCCAAAACAAGGGAATGACGTATGTATGAAGTTCACTCAAACAATTCTTACTTTCCTTGCAGTTTGTTCCTTAAAGATTTGACTTCGTTTTATTGGGCATGACAGGAACTAAATTATTAATAAAAGCTTGTTTTTATTTTTATGTTTTGCTGTGGATAATTTGTACAAAAAGTTTCCAAATCTCTAATGAGCTCTAATGAGACTCAACGTAAAGTGGGCCTTTTAAGATGGAAGTAGAATGCCAGGTTCTACTTCAAAAAGAGTATCTCAAAGGAACAAAGAGTCATCTGCCATGTGCTTTTGGAGGTGCCCGTGCTGGAAAAAACTTCTCAATAATATGAAGATGCTGGTACAACTTGTCCTATTACACAACTTCTTACACAACCACATGCGTTACATTTATAGACAGATTTACAATTTGAAAGGAAAAAAGTTCTGTCTTAATAAAATTAGTTTTTTTTTCTTTTTTTACAAACTGTAGTCCAAACAAAGTTCTCTGTCTCCTCACACAGCAGATACGTCATCTCCATTGGGTGTGGATTAGAAAAGCCCTTCCGGGCAGATCCTGGCAGATCTGGTTCCTTCCATGCCTTGCGCTCTGCTTGGAGCGTGCACCACACTAGCTTGGGGGTCGCCACAGAGTTGATACCCTGGTCTTCTGCTCTTTGATTTTTTTCATTCATCTTCATCATCTTCATCTTCCTCTCCATCTGACAGGGACGTACAAGGCCGGATCTGTCGGTAGCGGTCAAGCCATTTCTCTACCATCTGCGTGACCAGGGGGTGGTTCCGCCGCCGAGAACTTTTCTGCATGGCCACCAGCACACCCCCTTCGGTCACACAGCAGTCCAGCCACTCCCTGAGCAGTTTCTCTTGCTGTTCCTCATTACCTAGCTTTTAGAGCAATGTGAAGAAAAGGGGAAAGAATACCACAGATCAGAGACCTGCTAGGAAAAGTCTAAAGAAAACACAGCTGACAGGATTACTAACGAAAAGGTCAAAGCAACAAACTTTTCACGTGGTTTCAGTCTCTCATCAATTTTATGATAAAACCCAGTTTCCTACACTTAAACATAAAAACATCAATGGGAAAATTCACAGGAAAATCTCACAGGGGGAAAAACCACCTACTAATGAGTTAATTTGTTTGAAAGAACAGGAAAAACCAAATGTTACCTAATACACTGATCTTGGCAAAGAAAAGACTAGAAAAACAAAGTCTCAGCTTCAAACACATGACAAGGTAAGTTTATTCAGTAAAGTCTTTACAGAATGAAGTTATAAAAATTATGTTCTACTAATGTCCTGATTATAGAAGTTTTAGAACTACTAGTACATTAAATAAAAGAGCAATAGTTTTGTAAGAATATGGGTTTTCTGAGCGTGTTCTTTCTACACAGCCTCACCACCCCTGCCTGGTCGACACCTCCCTCGCCCCTGCATCTACAGCGGTCTCCTAGCTGGCGCTCCGGCCCCCACCACTGCTCCAGGCACCTAGTCTCTAGGCCCCACACCGAGCAGCCGGTGGTCCTCTACCGGACAAACGGGCCGTGGGCTTCCCCGTTTGCCCAGAGTCAAAGCCAAGGCTTTAAAAGGCTGTTGGCGAGCCCCTTGGCATCCCTGAGCCCCTCAACCCCCTTTCCCCACAAACCACACTGGGGCCCTGAGGTACCCTCTCCCTACAGCTCTCTTCCCCCATATTCTGCAAGACTCCCTGCTCTTGAGGGGCTCGTTTCAGGCGTCATCACCTCAGACGCCTCCCGTTACGGCCCAATTGCAATCATGAGCCCCGTGCCCCCCATCTCCCATCTTTCTAGTTTTTCTCCTCGGCAGCAGCCCCCCCCCCCCCCCCCGCCGCCGCCTCAGTTCCTGTCATGGCAGCATCTGCACCACACGACCACAGAGCAGCTCAGGAAAGGTACGTGTCACAGGCTGGCAGAGCCGAGG